AAATAATATTTTGTTGAAAAGATACACCTAATATATTTAATCAGTTTCTTAATGTTGGAAACTCACTTAGTTTTCTAAGTTTTAATTAAGCACACTGTAGTGGTTATTTCTGAACACACATCTTTAATTAGGTATTCAAGTTTTTTTAAGGCAATATTTTCAAAATGACTGAGTTAAATAGCTTGCTGTTGTCTTCAGTTTCCTTCATCAAATATATAAAAAGTGGTCTTTTCCTCACTCTTTTGAAACTACCAGATATTATTATAAAAATAATAAGAAAAGTTTAAAAAAACTTTTGTCAATTCGGGGAAAAACGATATCTCAATGTCTTAGTCTTTCTTCACTAATGGGCCAGAATATTTTTCACAGCTCACTGGCCACATTTTTTTCTGGTATTTTTCCCAAGTTGAGTAAACTTTATTCTTTAAAAACTCTTCTACTACTTAACATTTCAATTTCATAGGCTCACTGGCAACTTATGTATGTTCCACTTTGGGGAATTTAATGAGATTTCCTTTATGGCATAACTTATAGTGAAATTATGTGAAAATTTAATAACTGTTCAAAAAGATGAAGTACACAGATATTATGTTTTAAGGTTTAGTATTCAATACATAGTTATTAAATTAACATTAATCTGTAATTACAGGTCTTCATTTTCTATATCTTTTTCCTTGCAGTTTTTGGCTAATTCATTTTTTTTCTTTTTTAGTTGTAGTAGGACACAATACCTTAATTTTGTTTATTTATTTATTTTATGTGGTGCTGAGGGTCGAACCCAGTGCCTTGCACATGCTAGGTAAGTACTCTACCACTGAGCCACAACCCCAGCCACTGGCTAAGCATTTTTAAGGATTGAGACTTATGGTCTTCTATTATTCTTTCATGTTCTAATTTTTTTTTCTTTTGTTTCTGTGGACTGAATATAAATTGACCTTATGCTTTTTGAAGGCTTCCACAATTTCTTATCCCTTTAATTGCTGGTTGCACACACACCCACACACATAAACAAAATCCATACATGTATCTGTTGTGTTATATGATGCATAGAGGAGGTGTATTTATCTTTATTATTATTTTTATGATGTGCATCTTTTATTCTGTTTAATGATTCATAAGTGAAGCTTAACTTGTGCTTTGTTTTCTGTTCATATTTACACCATGCATTTAGTCCATTTGTTTATTTATTTTTAAAGTTTCATCTTACTCTTTATTTGAAATTCAACTCATGTGAAGGAAGAGCAAGTAATTATGCATTGTTTTTGCCTTAGGGGTTGCTGCGCTCTTTTCCATTCTTAAACCAATTTAGTCAAATAAATATCTTCTATGTAGAGAAGAATTAAATTGTTTCTGAATATAAGGAAATTCAAAGATCAAATGTGGAAATGTCTTGCATAATAGGTATTACTTATTGTTGTTTGATGTTTTAAAATCAGACATTATGAACAATTTGCACAAAATTCTCAGTCCCAGTGCTGAAAGTCTAAAAGTCTATGTAATTTTAGAATCCTTTTGCAAATAGTTCTTCTAGTGACTTTCCAGCCACCATGAAAAGAGTAAATTGAGCTCAGTTTCTTAAAACTTTGATAAGTTGTTAGGCCTAGAGTTCTCTATTGCATGTCTTGATGTCACTCACAAATTTCTAACCTTTCACAACACTTGAGCAATATTTTTAAGAGAAACTAGACTGTCACTATGTAGCTACAGTTAAACTTGCACATGTAGCACATAATTTGAAAGGGAGTTAGCCAAGATCCAGGAGCATCAGAGAAAAAAAAATCACCAGTAGAAGATATTAATTTTCAATATTTTAGATATTTTAAATACTGGATTATTACTCCAAAATACCATTCCAGTCTGTCTCATAGTTAGGATATGAAAACTACGCATTTTCTTTTATTATCATCCTGCACAATGTTAAATTGATCCACAAGAGGATTGAAATCTCCCTTAATTCTGTATTCCATTATTTTTTAAGGTGTATTTAAATAAAGAGCAGTACATCATTTCACATCTTGAAAATGGCATTTGCATTTCTCTATGTGTATTTGTGGAAATGTATCATTCCCGGATTTATTTTTGGCCTTAGTTCTAACAGGTGTGGGTTTCACAAGCAACTACTTTCTTTTGGGGCTTTCATCACTTTTTCCACTAGCCTGGCCTCCTCTTGGCCCCTAGGGGTGTGGTGCTGGTGGTTATTGTTAGTTGCGGAGCAGGCTGAACAAATGTTGGCTGCAGGGTAGCCTGGCCACTCGACCCTCACCCGTCTGGTTCCTTATCGCTTGTTTGCCTCAAGTCTGAACACTCAACCCCACTCAAGGCTGAACACTCGACCCTCACCTGTTTGGCCCAATGGAAACCCACATCTAGCCCCTGCCCTGTCTGCCTGAAGACAGAAGATGACATTCTTAGCAACTACTGTATGGTCCAATCACTGTACACCAACAAAGCAGCTTACAGACCCAAAGACCCCATTAGATTTTGGCTATAAAAACTCTCTCCTGTGGGGACCCCCTCTCTTGCTCTCTCTTTCTTCTTCTCTCACTTTTGCTCTCTCTCTCTCACTCTCCCTCTTGTTCTCTCTTTCTCTTTCTTCTCTTTCTCTCTCTCTTGCGCTTTGTTCCCCCCTGCATGCTCCCCCCCACTTTTATCAGACTTCTCACTTCTCCTTCCCTTTTAATCAGACACTGCCACAATAAAGATGTCTTGGACGCTCTGAGTGTCATGGTCACTTTCCTTTCAGTTATAGCAGGGAGGTAGGAACCAGGTATCTGGTTAAGACCTATCTTTATACTTTTCATCCTTTGTAATAACTTTAATTTAATAATATTTTATTTTAATTTACAGCACGTAGTTGAGTTTGGGTTTTGGGGCCAAATTTCAATCTTTTCCATTTAGTAGGCAAATCTGTTGTTAATCCATTTGTGCAGTTAAATATTTTCTTAAGACTCTAAAGCACATGTTTTCCAAGAGTTACTTGAATTTCTTAGAATAAATGTCTTTTGGAGTTCTGCTATTCCAAATTGTTGCATGCCATGTTAAGATTATTATTTATATTGCAGAATACTTTCCAAGTCCCCTCTTATTTACTCACTTCTTGACTGATTGCTTATCTTTATGTTTCAGTCTTTCTATTTGTCTAAAATTTGTGTGGGTGACTTCTCTTTTGGGTCTGTCATTATGCACACTTGGAAACTATTGAAATCTCTTCTTGGAACTTGACCTAGAGTGTTGCATGAAGCAGGTAAATACAAAAGATTAGCAATTCAAAAGTATTAGTAGGCAGAGAAAGAGTTTAGGCTGTGATCAGTAACAAATGGAAACTTCATTTCTGCAGAGTTTCTCTGGGTTTGCTGAACCCATGGAATCAGGGATCCTTATTCCATATCTACTTTCCTTTGCAGGTAAACCATAGCCAGTGTCAAACTGCTTTCCTTCAGATTCTGCCAGCTGTGATGGCGGAGTGTTCTATCTCACTGAGTGGAGGGGTCATCATCTTTAGGACTCTATCTTTTGCCTGGTCATTATGAACCTGATACTGGATGTCACCAGCACCAGAAGAAACATTCCTAAAGGTTTCTTACTTGTGCCTCTTATGGCTGGGGTATTATTCCATTCTCTCTCCATCTCCAAATGGGGCATCATAGGTGGGTTAGCACCAACCATGCTCCCACCACCCACCAGCATCCTGTTATATCTCCAGCTCTCATGCTAAGAAAGCTTTTCCCTGTCTTTTTTAAGAAATCTGAGCAACCACATTAAAACTGGAGCTTTGGCTATTTGTCAAATGCTTGCTTGAATAAATAAAGTTACGTTGTGCAGTTTGAATTATTTGTTCTACTGTTCAAATAATTTTTGATCTTTAAGCCCTTATACTAATTATCTAAGAGGGGCATGTGATTCATTATTCATTAATGGTAAATCCCTTTTCATCAGACTTCTCACTGATTCTTAGTCAGGTTCGGACTAACCTGGGAAATTTTGCATTTGTCCTCATGATGGGGAATCATAATAGTAGAGAAAGCTGAACTAGACTGAAATATAGGATGGTTAATGAACCACTTGGACACATTACTTAGATAACATGATATTCAGTTTGTTTTAGAAGATGGGAAAATACCACCTATGCTGCTTACAGTACAGGAAGTTATTATTTATTTTTTTAAGGGGGGTACCAGAGATTGAACTCAGGGGCACTCAACCACTGAGCCACATCCCCAGCCATATTTTGTATTTTATTTAGAGACAGGGTCTCACTGAGTTGCTTAATGCCTCACTTTTGCTGAAGCTGACTTTCGAACTCGTGATCCTCTGGGATTACAGGTGTGCGCCACTGAATTTTATTTTTTAAGGAATAAATGATATGATACATGAAAACAATCACTACCACATACCAGCTATTGCAAAGCATTCTCCAAGAGCAAGTTCACAGTATTTTTTCTCCCTGCAGTTGAGAGGAGTGGAAGTTTCCTTATTACAAATTTTATCCTTTGAATAAGATTTTTATTTATTTTTTGCTAGAAGGTAAATAAATAGGCAGTCTGTGCCATCTTGTCTATTCATGTATCATTCATTCATTCAACCCAACATTCCACAAGGCTAGTCCCTCTCCTTATGAAGCTTATGTTGGAGTAGCAGAGACAGGTTATATGTAAACATAAAAACAAGATTATTTGAATCAGTGATGAATGTTAATACTAAAAGTGAAAGAAAGGACAGAAAAGGATCTGTTGGAGGAGGCACAATAGTTGCTATTTTAGAAATATGATCAGAAAAGTTATATTTTCACTCATGCATGGGAATTAAAACACATTTAATAAACCACCTGGCAATAGCACAATGCTTGAAATTTTCAAAAAGACTCTTATATCCCTTTTGCTCTTTGAAGTTTATAATAGTGATTTGAGGCACATAGTCTAGATACAATCTCAACTTGAGAAGTAGTCACAAGGAATCTGAGACTGGACTGGATGAAATTCCAAAGTGGCGGATGCACATACCCATTTCATGTCTGGTGCTGGCCACACCTGAGCCATATGTTTCTAAAACATCCTTTATTGTCTTCATAGACTCATTGTATTTGACTGCGAGCCCAAGGAAGTTATAGGAGCCCATGTTGATGACATCTTTGATGATTCTTCCAGTAAACCTATAGGGAAACAGGCAAGTGAACACAGAGGACTATCTCATTTAATATTCTCCCAGTGCCCAAGAAACTGGGATTTGGGCCTGGCCCAAATTATATGTTTTCTTTTTCTTTTAAATTGACACTGTTTTCAGCATATCATGGATTATCCTTAGAGGAAAGCAACCCATAATGAAGTGGAGACGAGCATTAGAGAAAGATATCCTGGGTCATGGTGTACTACTCACTCTTGATTTCCCTTGGGCAATTGCTTTCATAAAAATCATGCTCTGGTTCAAAGTCCAACAAGAATTTCTAAAGGAACAAGAGCTGTGTCATCACTGTCCCCATTAAGGAGAATAGAAGGGTACAATTTGACAGGAAAGCTGAAAAGGGTGTTTTCAAGGCTGACTCTGTACTTCTGACACAGGGTTTCACTTTAATTACATTATAAATAAGCCACCTTTTCAAAGTAATTACTGTGACTTCCTCTATTGGCCTCATGAGAGCTGCCAAGGACTAGATGATGAAGACCAGCTACCTTTGTATTTTGGGTTTTTCAGATCTGGTGCCCATGCTAGAATTTCTTGAAGGGATTTTTATTTTTCCACCAAGCCCCTCCAGGTGTCTGCCTCACCTAAATGTCCAGTTATAGTCATCAGATACTCTTTCCACCACATCAAAGTGAGGCCCTGGAGCACTGCAGATGGGCCGGTTCCAGTTGTCTCTGATTCTCATGTAAAGGTTCCGCGTATAAAAATTCTCAAAGTCTTGATACAGGGGCACAAAATCCTGTAACAGAGGTAGAAGGTTAGCTTTGGGCTCTGGGTTTTTAATTTAAATTTATTTAATTTGCAGTTGAGGGCTGAGAGAAGACCTGGGAGAGCCCTGCAAACAATCCATCTGTGGACTTCTGTTTTGTTCTGTTTTGAGCAAGAGTCAGTGGCTGAGGAAACTAATGGGGCCCACAAATAAAACCGTAAGACCTCTCTCCCTAAAGAGCCTGTCCTTTAGTGGGGAAGGGGGTGTAAAAATGTGATAAATAAGGGTAACAAGGAGGACAGCACTATACAAAGCAAGTCCCAGAACAAGTGGTGAAAACAAGGAGTCCCTGCGGTGTTCCCAGAGAGAATTACGGCTGAAGGGGAACAGCAGGTATGTGTTTATGTCCAGACAGTTTAGTTCGCAAAAAAAAATGGTTGAGATGATAATTTGGCTTTAACTGTTTTTGAATGTCCATATTCCCCTTTACCATGTTTTTAGATGAGTGGATGGAATTGAATTATTGGACCTATTGGCAAAACTGCTGATTGGCAGGTGGCTGGTTGTCATATTGCTGAGGGCCTGGAAACTGGGCTGAGAAACTTGTGGGACACCAGCCAAAGCTATAGCACTGTGTTCCTGTATAAAATGTGATTCATGGCTGGAGGGATCTGCAGTCCAGCTGAAGACATGTCTGATTTTGTCATTTGACTTATACTAGTACATGCTAGGCAGAAAATGCAAAAGTCATGACAGTGGTCTAAGCAGGCATTCATAGGATTAGAGCAGGAGCAAGCATCACATCTTGCTGAAGGAATCAGAGAAGCTGATTAAGTGGGAGGGACGCTGAGGTGGCACTAAGGAAGAATGAGGGTATTATGATTAGGAATATTTGGGGAGGATTGTCAGGGTGGACGAGTTTGTATGCTAAAATATGGAGAACATTTGAGAAGAGTGAGTAAGGATAATACATCAGGCATATCCTGCCACTCCTTGCTCTGAGCCTATATTGGCTCTTCTCTTACTCCAAGTCAAAGCCAAGGCGCTGATTTATTTGGCTCTGGTTACCTCTCTTATCCCATCCCTTCACTATTCTCTGTTGCATGGATGAGGCTGAAAGGTTACTTTGGCAGAGAAAGCAGGAGCCTTAGGCTTCTGCATGAGGAGTCAAATTTTGTTCTCTAGGTAACAGGGAGTCACTAAATAATTGGGAGTGAGTGTCTCATTTGCTTTCCTATCTTCTTGAGTTCTTTGCTGTTCTTTCCCTTATGAGATGGAGAGCAGATTTCCCGAGGGAACAAAGACTGTGGGAAGGCCTTTCTGGATGATCTTCTTGTGCCACTAGCTAGCCCACTCATTTTCAGAGCTGTTCCATTCTGCAGGAGAATATAGAGAATACACAAGTCTTTTTTAAAGTCTTTAAATAAAAAATTAATTAATTTTAAAATTCTGATTTGTTATATATGACATCAGAATGCATTATAATTCATATTACACATATAGAGCACAATTTTTCGTATCTCTGGTTGTATATAAAGTATATTCACACCATTTGTGTCTTCATACATATACTTAGGGTAATGATGTCCATCTCATTCTACCATCTTTTTTTACCCCCATGTCCCTTTCCTTTCCCTCCCACCCCTTTGCCCTGTCTAGAGTTCATCTAATCCTCCCATGCTCCCCTCCCAACCCCACTATGAATCAGCTTCTTTATATCAGAAGGAACATTTGGCATTTGGTTTTTTGGGATTGACTAACTTCACTTAGCATTATCTTTTCTAACCTCTTCCATTTACCTGTAAATGCCATGATTTTATTCTCTTATATTGTTGAGTAATATTTCATTGTGTATATATACCACATTTTCTTTATCCATTCATCTACTGAAGGGCATCTAGGTTGGTTACACAATTTAACTATTGTCAATTGTACTGCTATAAACACAATAGCGCTGTGTCCCTGTAGTATGCTGATTTTAAGTCATTTGGGTATAGACTGAGGAGTGGGATAGCTGGGTCAAATGGTGGTTCCATTCCCAGTTTTCCAAGAAATATTCATACTGCTTTCCATGTTGGCTGTACCAATTTGCAGTCCCACCAGCAATGTATGAATGTACCTTTTCCCCCACATCCTCACCAACACTTATTGTTGTTTGTTTTCTTAAGAGCAGCCATTCTCACTGGAGTGAGATGAAATCTTAGAGCAGTTTTGATTTGTATTTCTCTAATTGCTAGGGATGTTGAACATTTTTTCATATATTTGTTGATTGATTGTATGTCATATTCTGAGGGGCATTTGTTCAGTTCCTTGGCCCATTTATTGATTGGACTGTTTGTTGTTGTTGTTGTTGTTTTGGTGTTTAACTTTTTGACTTCTTTAAATACCCTAGAGATTAGTGCTTTTATGTGTGAGTGGAAAAAATTTGCTCCCAAGATGTAGGCTTTCTATTCACCTCACTGATTTTTCTTTCATAGAGAAGAAGCTTTATAGTTTGATTCCATCCCATTTATTAATTCTTGATTTTAATTCTTGTGCTACAATGAAAACTACAGAAATTTTTTTTCTAAGGAAAAAATTAAAGAAGAGCTTAGAAGATGGAAAGATCTCCCTTGTTTTTGGATAGGCAGAATTAAAATTGTCAAAATGACCATATTATACAGATTTAATGCACTTCCAATCAAAAGCACTATACAGATTTAATGCAATTCCAACCAAAATCCCAATGACATTCCTCAAAGAAATAGAAAAAGCAGTCATGAAATTCATCTGGAAAAATAAGAGACCTAGAAGAACTAAAGCAATCATTACCAAGAAGAGTGAAGCAACAATCAGAGATATAAAAAACTGAGTTGTGCTGTATATATGTAATAAGAATTATAATAAATTCTGCTGTCATTTAGTTTTGTTTTGAAAATCCATAATGTAAAAAAAATAAAAAAATATAATGTGAAAAAAAAGAAGAGTGAAGCAGGTAGCATCACTATACCAGACCTTAAACTATACTACAGAGCAATAGTAACAAAAACAGCGTGTTATTGGTACCAAAATAGACTGGTGGACCAATGGTACAGAAGAGAGGACATAGAAACTAACCCATATAATTACAGTTGTCTTATATTAGACAAAGGCAACAAAATGTACATTGGAGCAAAGATAGCCTCTTTAACAAATTGTGCTGGGAAAACTGGATATCCACATGCAACAAAATGAAATTAAACCCCTATCTCTCACCATGAACAAAACTCAACTCAAAGTGGATCAAAGACCTAAAAATTAAACCAGAGACACTAAGCCTATTAGAAGAAAAAGTAGGCCCTAATCTCTATCATGTGGGATTAGGTCCCAACTTCCTTAATGAGAATATACAGGTCTTTTATGGCAGGTGGCCATAGTTAAGCCACAGTCCTTTGTGTCACATGACCCTTTGGTACTCAGTGATAATGACATCATTCCTAGGGTTCCCTATGGAAATCCCATTATGGTATTCTGTACAAAGAAATTTCATAAACATACACGGTACTATTACATGTGAATTTGAAACTCTACTGGTTACATTTCAAAATCTCATACCAAATGCATTTTTTCTAAATATCTGTGGTTTCGGTTTTATTATCATTTAAAATGATGAGTTTATGGTAATTATATGATCCTTTTACATTCTCACGGGAAAAAAGACATATTTTTGAGACAAGATTGCATACTCTGGAAAATTATTTGCAAACTATTTCCCCTTTGATTAAATATTTTTTTCAGACTATTTACTGTTCATGGATTATTTCATGTCCCATATGTTATTTGTGTCCTTCTACTCATTTCAAGACTTATTTAAAATGTACCATATAAACTTATTTTTTTATGAGGAGAAAAAGAGTAAAAGTAGGTCTATAGGTAATATTTTCGGGATCTAAGTAGAATTACAGTTTCAGGTTTTTTGATAAATCTTACTCAAAATAAAGCAAAATTTGATTTTGGAGAGAAGGAAAAAACCAAACCATTCTGTCTATAAAATCAAAACAAAGTTAATTTCAGATTTGTAACCCCTGGATTCACAAGGCAGCAGGGATGGAGAGGACACGGATCACAGAACTCAAGTGTCTGCTTGACACATCAGGAAAATCAGACCCAGAAAGAGGAGTGGGTCATCCTCTGGCTTCACTCCCTTTCCCAGAAGAGACTTCAGGATGACCTCAGGATTATTCAGATTCTCTCTAGCGTACCACTGGTGACACAAATACCTCACCGACAATATGTAAAACTGTCCAACATATTTCCAGTCTAGAGCAGGAGTGTCTACTAGTCATGTGGAGCTCTACATTGATGGGAGGAAACAATGTGTAGCTTCCCCATGTCCTGCTTTATGGAGATACATCATCATTAGTTTCATTTTGTTGCATATGAATTTCCAGTTTTCCCAGCACCATTCGTTGAAGAGGCTATCTTGGCTCCATTGTACATCCTCCCACGATTTTCTCCCTTCTGACTCAGAGATGTAGAATCTGTACCATGTGGAAATGGGCAGTTACCTTTTTATTGAAACACACTCTTTGAGGACAAGTTAGAGGGATTCAAACCTATTGTGTGGGGTCAAGGAAGACTCCCTGCTGGGAATGATCTTCGAATTCAATAACAATGTTACAGATTAGGTACTTGTGCCTCCCTTGTCACAAAAGGTAGGTTTTTTTTTAATCACAGAGGTGTATTTTTGTGTATGATGTAAATACTAACCCAGATCCGATACACAAGTTCAGCAACCTACATAGTCCTGAGATGGACAATTGAGCCTAGGCAGCCTCCTTAGAATGGAAGATCTGGTCTGGGAACAAACTGGCTTGCTTTGGGGCATGTTCCTCTTCTCCCCCCACACGTGGCTTCCTGCCTCTGCTTGGGTGTGTTTTCACTCCACCCCATTCCTGTGAGCAGTAGTGAATTTTCTTCAGGAACAGCCAACACCTCTAAAAGGTCAATGCCCTCTAGTCTCAGACAAGCTTCCCACAGCAATATAACTACACCAGAAAACGAAGCTAGAC